TATTTTTGGTTATATGAAATTTAAAGACTAAATAGCGAAAGTTATTTTCTTTAAAATTATTATCTGCCTATATTTGTTGTATGTATTAGTTCATATATCTATATATTTAAATTAGTATTTGTTGTCCTTCTTCAACATCTGGTTTAAATATTTCCACAATCTTAAATCAGTTTTATTTATGAAACAGAGGTAAAATCATAATGAGAAAGTTAAAGCAGCTTGATACTTTTATGTATGGATAAATGTGAGTTACTTCGTTTTAATGAGGAATCGGTTCTTCTGTACAATTAGTAAACGGAAACAGATCAAATTGCGGTAAAAATTCTTAGAGATAAAATACAGAAGTAAAAACTGAAGATAAAAGGAAATGTTTCAGAAAATATTTTATATTAGCAGTATGTTACAAAAACTTATTCTAAACAAGGTACCTCAACAGCCAGTCAAAAATATACAACTGCTTCCCAGAAAGTGGTGTATCCAACGGAGAGTACATAAATTGAAAATTGTGAAAGATGTCAGAATTAAAGTACCTAAATAACAGCTGAAGTTGAATCGAAGGTCATATTTCCGGGTCATATCATAAACATTTACAGTCCTTCATCAAACTTAGGTGCAATGTAGAAAAAAGAGCCCTAAAGTCTAAATATTCAGTCTCAATATTCAATGCTCAGTTATTGCGTAAAATTTCCCGGATATTTAAAAAATTGGAAATTTCTCAGAGGGTTCCAAAGTACATGCATTGTTTTTGAAAGCGATGCACTTTTAGCAATTTCAACAAATGAAAAAAACATTAATTGCATCATTATTCTTACATTTTTCGCCGCTTAAGGCTAAATTTAATTTTTAAAAAAATCATCCTTAATAACCTGCTTTTAATAAACAAAATATAATAGCCCTTTGGTCCATAAAAAATATGTTATTTTTTATGTTAAAAATATGTTATTTTTTATGGGTCTATGCCCTGAACTTATGGCAGTTTTTTTAAAAACATCCTGTAGATATATCTTGAAACCGGCTTCAACTTATTATGATTTGATAAGATACAAAAATTCAAATTTAATTTAAACAACCAAATTTTCACCAGGTACCCCCATAATGCAAACTACTATTTTGCAATTTCTTGCTTTTCATTCTTTCACATAACTAACTAACAATACAACCAAAACATTGTGTATTGCTCCGAATTTCTTGATAAAAGTACTGGGAGCCGTCTCAATATTATAGATATATGTATATATTTTTATATAAAAGTGAATATTTAACTTCAAAGTGTATAAATTCTATATATTTTATAAATAGTATTAAACTTACAAATAGTAGTTTGCAGTAGACTGCATATTTTTGTAACTCTGGCTCCCTGTGTAAATAGAGTTGGCTTTTACTGCCCTATATTAATTAATTGGTGAATAAACTGATTAGTTCCTCTGTAAATTTAACCATTTTCAGACAGGCCTCTAAAATATAAATTATAAGATCTTCCTGGAAAAATGATTCTTATATAAAAGTGTTCATATGTTAATAAAGGTAGGTATTGAAATTTATCGAAATAAGTTTTTTTAATTTATTTATATAAATATTTCCATAAGTAGAGCTGTCATAATTAACTGCGTGCGTTTCATCAACGTAAGATAAAGCCTGCCTTAGTTGCAAAATGAAAAATAACGATGCACGCGCGTGATATAGTTATAATATTATTACATATTCGAAAAGCTTATGAAAAGAGCTTTAAGTTAAAAGAAATTCGTCAAGATTCGTTGAAAAATAACGGAGTTACAGACTGTCAAAGTTGACGGCCTATTGTTAAACAAATTAGATTGGTAGCGGCACAAAAATACTGTCATAACCGGCAACCCCAGTACTTTCCCAGATAAAAATATTTGTGGTATGTAAGTATGTTGAGTGCATAAGAAATATTGTCAAAAGTCAGTGGGTCGCTTAATTTTTCTGTATCTCCGTTGTTTTTCAACAAATCTTGACGATTTTTTTTACTTTTAAATGTTTTTATAACAGGTGGACCATGGAAGCGGGAAGTTTTAAAAATGTTATTATTTCATTACTATGCATGCATGGGTTGCCGCGGATTAGTTTGACAAATTATCTGTCATTGTATGCATTTAGTAATAATGAAACAGTGGTCCGGCAAACAACGTTCTTTTGTGATTAAATCTTACTACAAAAATAATGATTGTATGGTCGNATACCTACAAAATAATGGCGGAAGGTCATCGAAAATGGATACGGCGAGATCAAAGGAAAAGAGCCGGCTGTCGCTTCTGGTGCTTATATTCTGTGTAACCGGCAACCCCAGTACTTTCCCAGATAAAAATATTTGTGGAAGTATGTTAAGAGTATAAGAAATATTGTCAAATGTCAGTCGGTCGCTTGATTTTTCGGCGAACTGTGGCGCAGCGGAAGGGTGGGGGAAGCGAACGACAGCGAGTCCGAAGAAAATGACGACAATATTCATAGTCCTGCCGTTAAAAAAGCGAAATTCGCTTGAAAATAATATATTTAACAGTCTGTATCTCCGTTGTTTTTCAACAAATCTTGACGATTTTTTTTTACTTTTAAATGTTTTTATAACAGGTGGACCATGGAAGCGGGAAGTTTTGAAAATGTTATTATTTCATTACTATGCATGCATGGGTTGCCGCGGATTAGTTTGACAAATTATCTGTCATTGTATGCATTTAGTAATAATGAAACAGTGGTCCGGCAAACAACGTTGTTTTGTGATTAAATCTTACTACAAAAATAATGATTGTATGGTCGCAGCACAGCGGCAATTTCGAATCAATTTCAACATTCCTTCAATGGGAATCATAGGTCCCTATTTTTTTTTGAGGATCACAATGAAAAGGCTTTAACAATCAATGCTGCACGCTATAATGACATGATTAACCAGTTCCTTACACAGCAACTGAACATGTTATCACATAGCAATAGCTGGTTCCAGCAAGATGGCGCTACTTCACATGCCGCAAGAGCGTCAATGGATTCCGTGCGAAAATTATTTTCAGGTCGTGTTATCTCCAGATACGGAGACATTGAGTGGACCCTAAGACCGCCAGATCTTACGGCATGCGACTACTTTTTGTGAGGCTATCTAAAAAGCAAGGTGTTCATTGACAAACCACGAGATATTCGGGAACTGAAAATGAAAATTCGGGAAGAAATTGCTAATATTCCGTTGGATATGTTGCGTCGTGTTATGCAGAATTTCAACGTTCGGCTTCAAGAGTGTATGGAGAGAAGAGGAGGCCATTTAGTAGGCATAATTTTTAAGAAATAAAAATGGCACACAATTATATTGTTATTGCTATACTTTGTTTTAATTAAATACAGTTACTTTCGGAAATACGTCATTTTCAAAACTTCCCGCTCCCATGGTCCACCTTGTACATATACATACACTGAATTACATTATTGTTTATATTTTTTTTAGTAAAAGAAAGTATTGTTCATCATTAACTTTCCCTATGGCCTACATGCACTTAAGATAACACGTTTTGAGTGCCGCTTTGTTGGACAAGTTTACTGCTGATAAAGCTATGATGCTGACTTGAGTAAATAACACAGGCCGACAAAATTTCAAACAAAAAAAATTCCAGAGATCACACACTACGCTTCCGAAGGCATTTGGCGCGCTGAATCCGAATCTGGCCTCAGAATTGATCCATCACCCTAGGTTTCCGAGATATTCTAACCTAAAAGTGCAAAAAACACGTACTTTGGCTATATTCAAGGTTATGTAACTTGGCGAAAAAAATTTTTTTCTCAAAACTGAAAACATCATTGGAAACGACTATCTTTCCCCTTCAAAACGCATTTTTTTATTTGGAAAAAGCTCTATTTTTCGCGGAGATATCGTCAATTTAAGATGACCAGTATGGCTATATTATTACATCATGGCTAACCCCATAACACTGAGCGCTGCTAGCCCTAATTGTTAGGAACGTTAACCCCAAGCCCTATAACCCCACAACACTAAGCGGAGCGAGCCCTCATCGTCAGGAAGGTTAACTTCAAGCCCTATAACCCAATAACACTAAGCGCTGCGAGCCCTAATCGTCAGGAAGGTTAACCCCAAGCCCTATATGTCTGGAAGGTTAATCCCAAGCCCTATAACCCCACAACACTAAGCGCTGTGAGCCCTAATCGTCAGGAAGGTTAACTTCAAGCCCTATTACCCAATAACACTAAGCGCTGCGAGCCCTCTAAGGCTCGTAGCGCTTAGTGATATTGTGTTATAGCCATGGTTTAATAAGGAAGCTATACTGATCATCTTTAATCGACGATATCTCCGCGAAAAATAAAGCTTTTTACAAATAAAAAAATGCGTTTTGAAGGGGAAAGATAGTAGTTTCCAATGATATTTTCAGTTTTGAGAAAAAAAATTTTTTCGCCAAGTTACATAACCTTGAAAATAGCAAAAATACGTGTTTTTTGCACTTTTAGGTTAGAATATCTCGGAAACCTAGGGTGATGGATCAATTCTGAGGCCAGATTCGGATTCAGCGCGCCAAATGCCTTCGGAAAAGTAGTGTCTGATCTCTGGAATTTTTTCCTTGTTGGCCTGTGTAATTTATTACTGTTTGCTTTTTTTATTAATTTTATAAAAAAAATCAAAAATCAAACAATTAAACGAAGGGAGCAGCTTAAATTATTTTGCCAGAAATACGACGATCTTAATGTCGTATTATTTGGAAGAAAACCTGTTTTCGAAATATACATTTAAAATTTTATACCACCTTTCCTCCCCTTCTGCTTTGACTAAGCAGCGTATATATTATTGCCTGAAATTATTTATTTATGGCATTATTTTGTTTATTAAAATTAAAAAATAAAGCTCGAACCGTCTCGAAAAAGCAAACAAGTTGTTGATAAAAGGGAAAAGCCTAAATTAAAAGAGAACCTAAAGAATATGTGGTTAATGGCTTAACCTTTTTTCTGTAATTTGTTCAAATGTGTCAACTTACCAATTTTTTTACATTCCTTACCTCTTTTGAGTCGCATCTACCCCAGCAAGCCATTACTGAAATCGTATCCCAACACTGCCTCCCATTTTCGTCAGTTTGAGTCACCCTGTACGTGTAGAGGCGTCGGTGGCATTCCAGCGTGATGGCTGCGTCTTTTAGAGGTTCCTCCTCCTGTAATTCCGTATTCGCCTCGATGATGCTTTGGCCCTTCACCACAACACAAAGTGTCAATGTCATCCATACCAAGATGTTTATCATGACTAAAAACTGAAACAAAAAAAAATTTCATTACAGTGGATTAAATTCAGTTCAAAGTTTTCCTGGCCGAAAACAAAAAAAAAGTATTGCGCAGTAGGTACTCTACACAACTTTATATACAGTTGCAGTTTTAAGTACAAATGACATTACTCTTCGTAGCAGTGTAGATGGTGCAGTTAAGCAGCATTTTTCACTAATTTCTGAGATTTTTGAACTTGGAAAGTACTATTTTTAAGTTATCTTCGATAATTAAGGAACGATTGTATTTCGGATTATTATGTCGTGGTCTATGTCACCGCCAGTTACAGATTTACTTAGCTTTAACTAGGAATCTTTTACATGCCCTTGTTGTTCTCGGACTAGATTCTGTGGGTCGGGCCTTATATCAGAACCCCTACGCTCGCCCTGGCGTTTATTTTGGTTCTTATTGTTGAACGAATACACAAGATGCATACATATTATCACATAAATCTGTCAAATCTCAAATTCTTTTGATAAATTTAATTTTAAGGTTGGAAAAAGTAACCAAGAGAGAGTTCTTCAATGTATCCATTCATTTTTTATTATTCAACATCTCTTTTTTTATTACTTTTAATAAATCCAAGAAATTCTCTGTCAAAATGCAACCTGGATAAAATAATTTTTATTAACAAAAATCAATCAGCGAAATCGATGTGAAATAGTAAATATTATGTAAACTGATAATTGCGATAGGCGCCAGCTGAAAAAGTTGTGCATAATTGTTAGCGCAAAAAAATATAAAAAAAATAAAAGAGGCGCATTTTTTTGGCTTCTTTCATGTATAACTCGAAGAATATTGACATTAGAGAAAATAGTCAAAGGAAAAATAGTTTCATTTTGAGATTCTCTTCAAAATGAAAGTGGTCCTAAATTTTTATGTGCATTATTGTTGCTGCAATACAGTATAGACCAAAAAAAATTCGTGAAAAAAGATGTTTTTTCATGAATTTATTTCGGACGTTGACTTTAGAGTAGCCATATAAAACCTATGGTTCTGAGTACTTACTTCATGAAATGGTAGTATTGTAGAAATTTTTTCATCGAAATCGGCCGGATAGATTTCGCACAATACAATTGTTAACTAAGAAAATACAGAATTATACTTATTTTTCAATTCTCTCTCACGGTAAAACCAATGATTTTTTTGAGCTCCCAATTTTTATACATACCCTTTGAAGTCTCGACTATCAATCCCCATTTAAAAATTTTCGATTTTATCCATTTTAGCAACAATTATAATTTTTTCAAAATTTCTTCGAAAAAATACTTATAAACATTTAGAGCTGGAGCTACCGTATTTGCATATTCTTCAAATGTAATTGTAGGATCAAATAGAGGAAGGATTGACGAACAAAATCCACTTTTGATCTTGTGGATACGATGAATCGTCATCGAGATATGAAAGCTCAAAG